AGACTGTGTTCTGTGGTCTGATTTTTCTCTGATGGCTTCCTCTGTTCTCTGCTCTGCTAAGATGCCACTCTGAATATGCAGGAATCTCTCCCTGGTTACCAGCAAATACAGAGAAACTGCTGCTCTTATTTCCTGCTGGAGCTGGAGGTAGAAAACTCACCAAAACATCTTTCTTGTTTAACTGCAGTGGTTAACATGCTTTCACATCTCAGTGCTATGAGATCCACCTCCACACCAGCTACCTCTGTGTTGTTTAACCCCAGCCACCAGCCCAGCCCCATGCAGCTACTCTCTCACTCTCCCACCAGTGGGAATGGAGAGAGAACTGGAAGGGTTAAAGTTCACAGACTGGGATAACAATAGTTTAATAGGGGAAACAAAAGCTGCTCACACAATCAAAACAAAATGCGGAATGAATTCCCTGCTTCCCGTGGTTGGTGTTCAACCATTCCCAATAGAGCAGGGTCCCATCAGACAGAATAGTGACTTGGGAGGACAAATGGTATCATTCCAAATGTCCCCCCCATTCCTTTTTCCCTTCACTTGATACACTGAGCATGGTGTCACATGGTCTGGAACACCCCTGGGGCCAGCTGGGGTCACCTGTCCAGGCTGGTTCTCCTCAGCATGAGGAGCAGCAAAGGCCTTGGCTCTGTGCAATCCCTGCTCAGCAATAACAAAAATATCTCTGTACCATCTCCCCTGAGTTCAGCACAAATCCAAAACACAGCCCCACACCAGCCCTGGAAAGGAAATGAACTTTACCCCAGCCCAAACCAGCACAACTCTGCTTTGGAGAGCAACACCTCAGGTGCAGTGACAGTGCACTATTATGCATTTGAGGACCTGACTAAAGATTTAAAGTTCAGACAGGTGTTGCTGATCTGCTGCAAAACACCATCAGTAGAGGTATCACTCATGTGATACGTTAAAGGCATGTTGAAGAATTTGGGTATATCTACACAAGTTGCAGGCACAGTGGTAGTTGCACGGCAGATGCTGCTGGCCCAAGTTGTGACTTTTTTTTTTGTGTCACTATAGGTTTCTTGTGGTCACTGCCATTTTTTCATTTCCCTCCCTCTCCTTCTATGATCACATACAAGACAGCCCGAGTATTTTTCGCTGCCTAGAAATGGAACAGATGCCACTCAGTGGGGATAAACCAGTACTGCAAGGAGTGAAAAAGATACATAGTTTTAAATCCTGTCAGCAGCTCCCCGGCTACAGCTGCACGGACACAGAGCCCTGCGCAGGGAGAAACAAAATGATGCTGAACTGCACAGAATGCAGCTTACTAATATATTGTGTCTTATTACCTATAAACTGGGGCAAGTAGATATTCTGCTCTAGAAAACAAACTCTGGTTTCTGTGTCTATGCACAAGCACAAGAGAAAATAAGATTTGTTAATGACAAAAGGTAGTAAGAGATCACTTTAACTAAATTAAGATCTCTTCATATAGATGAAATGAAGATGGAAATGGCCAGGAAATAGAAATGAGCTGCATGCACATGGGTCAATTCTCAGGGAGCAAATGAGTCACTGGATGCACAGAAAGGAACAGACATTGAGAATAGGAACTTATTCTGTAAATGTGGTATTGATAAAAGGCAAATCAATGAGAATAATAGCTGTCTATTCATAGCAAGCTGAAATTATTCTGGGAAAAGGTCAAGTGTTTGCTATGTTGAATGGCATAAATCTTTTCTCCAGAATGATTCTACAATTTCAGTTATTTCCTGAAATTAGATCTTGGTAGGCAAAGAACAAGTTCAAGAGCACCTGTGAAAGCTGCATATTTTCAGACTGCTTTGCTTAACTTCACCATACATTGTGCAAAACTTAGAGCCTTTAAAAGTTCTTTTCACCAGCATGTGGAAACTGAATGGAAGAGACAGAAACAGCTCAGGGAAAATTTAGTAGGGAAAACCAGACAAAAATTCACAAACTAGTAAACTTAACCTCCATCTCCAGAGGGAGGAGAGAAAGAAAGGTTAATATGCAGAAAAGGTGAGAACAACAAACCTTAACAGTGTTCCCTCAAGAACAGTGCCAAGTGGGTATACCTTGGCTTCGTTGTGACAAAATTGTAGCTTTCCAGTGCCTAAAGGGAGCCTGTAAGAAAGATGGAGAGGCAGTTTACAAGGGCACATAATGAAAGGACAAGGGGGAATGACTTCATACTAAAAGAGAATAGGTTTAGATTAGATAAAAGGAATAAATTTTTCCTTGTGAAGGTGGGGAGACCCTGGCACAGGTTGCCCAGAGAAGCTGTGGCTGCCCAATTCCTGTGGAAGTGTGTAAGGCCAGGCTGAATGGAGCTTGGAGAAACTGGGATAGATGAAGATGTCCCTGCCCATGAATGAGCTTTAAGGTCCCCTCCAACCCCAGCCATCCTGTATCCTAATATAGGATTATCATGTAATCCTGATTACATGAACTTCCTTCAGATCCTTTGAGTTAGCTAGTCTGGTGAACACAGAAAAAGCAAGTATCATATATCTTGGAGCTAGCAGACCTTTGAAAATGTTTCTCTTGGGTAGCTCAGGAGCAAACTAGCTTTGCTAGAAATACTGTGGGATTGGTACAATGCTGGACACAGATCTTTAAGGAGGCAAAGTTAGCAATAGCCTTCACTACCAAAATGGATGTCAAGATGCATTTAAGGTGTTTCTGCTGAGCTCTGATAGGATCTGGAGAACATTAATACCCTCAGTAACTGATGAACAGATGGCATCAACCTGGGAAAGCCCACATGTGGAACCACCGTACACACTGGTAATGCTAAATACTCTTGATGAGCTTCAGAAGTATTCAGTAAGACAGAAAAAAAAGAGAAAAAGATATAATGTATCAGGGTAAGTGTAGCGACCTGTGCATGGGATGCGCAGGGAAGCAGCGCAGGAAGGGCTCTGAGGGAGGCCACAACCCATCTCAAACCGTGCATGGAGCAGGCCTATCAGCATTTTGACCAAAAAAAGGCAAACAAAAGGCACGGCAGGCACCTCGGCGAGCCTCGCGGCGGGGCTGAGGGAGGGCACTGGCCCGTGAGGCGCCGCGCCCGCCCCGCCCCGCGCTGACGGCGGGCCGG